GCAGTGCTGTAGATTGCGGAGAGGATTACAGTGCTGATAATATTCTTGACTCACTGTCTGATAGTAAAGAAAATGATGATGCAGAAATGAAAGAACTTCCAGATCAGCCTACAGAATATCCTGTAGGTAACTTGGAGGCATCTCCGCAATTATCAGAAATTAAAGAAGAATCAAGAGAAATACCAGTAGTGATGGTATGCATCTCTTACATGTGTGGAATCAGAATTTTTTTTTTTTCAAATTAAATAGTGAAATTGTAGCTAAACAATACTGGAAATAATTTGGGAATCTGAATTTTTTTTATGGTCATTGACTTTTATTTTATTTTTAAAAAAATATTTGCAGAAACAGCATTTTTTATTTAAAACATGCATAGGTTCTGTTTGCATGCCTTGTTAGTGCCCACAGTAGTAGTAATCTAGAAAGCATCACTGATTAAATCAGTGAATTCCCTACTGTGCCTTAAATTTTACATTCCCATTTTCTCATCATTCCTTTGTTTTAGAAGGTAGTATGAGGGATATGTATGCCATAGTCTGTATTCTTCGTAATTGAATCGGCTTTGCAACGGTTTATCGTGCAATGTATTTTACATTTTATGATAACATTTGGTCTCCCAGTCATCCTGGCGTTGGGAATATTTTTCATGCTGGCTTTTTGCATGTGTTAGTTTGTAATGGGCAGCATTATCTTGTTTTGCCGGAGCATAAACTTTTCCCTAATTGTTCAGGTTACTTTCTTGAAACATACAGTGGGGTATGGGAAGAGAGTAATAGTCATATTACTCTGTGACATGCTTTGTCTGCATCATCTGGATTGATCATATCCTGAGATGACTGCTTTTTCTTTAATTTAGAATTGGCAGTAACAAATAACAAAATTAAAATATTGAGTGGGTTATATATTTTTACTGTAAAATTAATTACGTTGCAATTTTTCATTAGACCAGCTGGCGGTCTAGAGGGAAACCTTGTTTTGATTAGAGTATTTGAATAAAAGGCATATAAAGAAAAATATGCCATATGGGATCTTTTGTTTAATGCTGACATTTATTTTCAAAACAACAAGGAGACTTTAAAGTGGGCAGGGACAGGCTAGGGACAGTTTGTTACCTGATTTCTTTCTCTTTTTTTAAGTTGCAATCATCCTTAGCCAGGTTTTCAAGTTTTAAAGGCTAGTAAATATTTAATTCCATATATCTCAGGAAAATAAAGTTAGAAATAAAATGTTTGTCCAACCTTCCAGTTTCTCATTTGGTTTCATTTTCATTAAAGATGTGATGGATATTCTGTAGGGAATGAATATCTCCTATTTATTCTTTCAGGCAGAGAGTGAAGATGTTGGGAACTGTTTAGATGCTACTTCATCTGATTTGATTATTGTAAAGGTAAATAAGCACTACTTTTTAACAAATTACTAGCAATGACAATGTATGAACAGCTAATACCTTTGTGTCTCCCTGGAAAATTATTAAAATATTTTGTTTTTATTTCTTAATTTAGAAGTAAGAATATGCAGTAAGCATATTAAAACTACATGGCCCATGGGGATGGCACAAGGCTGATTTTTGAGGCATGTGTGCCAAAGAGTTTAGCCCCAGCAGATTTGGAACATGGGATTGCAAATTTTAGGAGCATGGTGTTCATGAAGCTTTTGCTTGCTGATTATTTGCATGTCTTTCTGGGAGCAGTATAAATGAACAGCACATCACATGCTAACAGAATAATAGTGCTGTTCTGATATTATCTAAGTCTGTGTAAAACAGAAATGGCCGTATCAGTGCTGTAGTGTTCTCTGAATTGCCACAGAAACTCTTGCTTTATGCAGTAAGTCTGAGTTCCTATTCTTTTATTTCATCAGTGGACATTACGTTAAGATTTTATGTAAAGATAATAGGTTAAGACTTATTTAAAGATAATTTAAGGAATTTACACTTCTCACAGTTTACAGTATTACCAAAACTTGAGTATTTTTTTAATTCCTTCTAGATGTAGTTTGGGCCCAGTTGAACAGTGCTGTGATATATATATATATTTGTTTGTTTGTAGGAAATCGAAGAACTGCCTTTGGAGCCAGGTACTGTTTAACAAAAAAACCCAGAAATACACACCTAGTTTGGAAACAGTTTCACTCTTCCACCTAATCCCTTTTTGTATCCCTACTTTGGTTTTTTGTTTTGTTTTTTTTTTTTTAAACTGAATTACTATAGTGTGCATTGTTCTAATGGTGGACAACCAGATCATGCAAGGGTCATAGAGATTGGAAACCCAGTCATATCACCAGATCTGTAATGGTGTCATCTCCATCATTTGAGACAATAGGTTCAATCTGAATTGAAGTGGTTGATTAGAAAATGTTCTCTTTGGCTATGTTAATTAACCTGAGCCTTGAAACTTAAAGGTTCTGCACATAAAGCAGATCTTGTGATATCACACAGTACCATAATTCTGTAATTTTGAATAGAGGAGTTTAAGGTAGTATATAAAGCTGTGGTAGGGAACTAAAGTGAATGGACTTCAGAAGAAGGAAGACTGAGTTTCTTCATGGAATTATCATACAGATATAATTCACTTTCTGGACTGCAAAAATACTTGTGCACCAACAGAAGATGCCCCAGTTTTCATGTTGGACTCTCTGCTAAAAGAATTTCACAGGAATCTGGAAATTGAACTGTCAAAGAATTGATGCAGTCAGTTAAGGATCTTGGACTTTGGAAGCTAAATTAGGAAGAACTAGAACTCAACATCATGAAGACGGTCAAGGATCAGCCAGAAAGTTATATGTTAAGTTTATCGGGCGTTTTTCTTCCGTGTAGCTTTCGGGCTTTAACGTAAGA